CCTCTGCGCAGCGCCGGGCCTCCGTGCGCCTCCGCGCTGGCAAGCGGCTTGGAGGGCCTCGCCGCCAGCTGGAGCGACTGGCTCCCCGCTCCGGCCCGCACGCGTGCCAGGAAGTCGTCCTGCAGCAGGGGCGGCGAGGGGAACTCCTGGAGGCAGGCCACCCTCGGTGCCGCCGAGCCCGACGGAGAGCCGCCGCTCATCCATTGGCCGACAAGCGGAGCCACCCTGTTCGGGGCTGGAGAAGGGGGGATAGCAAAAGGGCGGTGATCGGCTGCACGCAGGAGCGACACAAGTTAACACCAGATAAGGGTGACCTCTTTGTTGCGCGGCTCTAGGCGGGTGCAACAGGGCCAAACCCACGCGCGCAGCCCGCTGCTATCACATCGCATTCAGCGATCGGGTGACTTGAGTGGGCCCGTGCCCAGAGATCACTCCAGCGAAGGATCACTCTCATGCGTAGCCGAGGTTAGCAAAGCAGCCGCACACAACTAGCTTTCCTGGCGCCTCCCAGCGCTGGGAGTAATCATGCATCAAGGACTGTTCGTGGCGGCGGGGCCGAAACCAGCTGAATGCAGCAGATGTCTAATCCCCCCTCCCCCGGTCCATCCTCTTCTTACGGCGGACCGTCCCGATCCGTCTGACCATCTGTGGGGTCTCAGGCGGTCGTTTCGCAAAATTCGGGCAACCCCGGAAAGCTCTTGACCGGGCGCAACTGCTGGAAAACATCCCGATCATCCTGAGGCTGGACGGCCGCCGAAAACCGACGACAACGCAAGAAAACGGCGAACCCCTTCTGGCTGACCCGGCCTGTCCAAGACGCGGCCTTCGTACTCCTCCACGCCCTCGTCGTGGTCGAGCCCGTTGTTCGTCAGCCGCTGCCCCTCCAGGGCGGTGCCTGGCCGGCCGACCCGCCCTGCCCGGCCGCGGCACATCACGTTCCAAGCAAGCACATCCAACAAGGCCGGGCTCCCGGGCCCCCCAGCGCACACGCGGTACGCCTTCGGCTGCACGCAAGACCAACCTCCAGTGGGGCAAGCGCGGCCCAGTCTCTGCATCGGAACGTGCGCCCGGTCGGCCTGCATCGGCACGGGGTCGAGATCGAAATTGGATCGGCCGCGCCAGGATGCTCGACAGCGCCGTGCAGACACGGGGCCGCATCGGATGATCGGGATACCGGGGTACTCCGCAGAAGAATCATGGCATCACAAGCATACAGTCGGGGCCTTGACCTAAGGAACCCCAAACAAGGAACGAGGCCCCTTTTTTCCATAAGTTAAATTTCGATTTCCGATCGAAAACACAAGGAAAACCTGAGGCAAGCTGCGACACACTTAAGGAACGCGGAGCCCCTCCCCAATGAAAAGGGTTCCTTCTTCAGGGCCCCGACTGTACCTGATCGAAGCTCCAGGAGTTTCTGCTCATGTTCAGGCGGCTGTTCCTTGTTCGACTCTCCGGCGCGGCTTGCCGATCGCTGCGCGCAGGTGCGACGGCAGCGGCCCGCTTGCTCGGGCTCGCCCCGCCCCCCCACGCACCCCCCGCGCCCGACCGAAGGCCGCGCGCCGGAGGCCACCCTGGTGAGGGGCCGCTCTTGCGTGCAGCCGCGCGCCTGCGGGAGGTGATCGCTGACGATCGGGCGGGTGGCCAAGGGGGGGGGGGGGCCCACACTGTGGGGGTGCAGAAACAGGCCCCTACTAGAGGGGCCCTTCGGGGCCCCGTCTGGAGCCAGCTGGTGCCCCAGAGGGGCCCGACAGGACCCCCCTGAAGACCTGCTTCTTCGCCCCTCGTCTGGGCCTCTCTCCCCTCCCCGCTCCCTTGCCGCCCGCCCGAGACGACGGCGCCAGCGGGCCCGAAGACGTCCCCGGGCTCCGCCAGGGGAGGCAGCGCCTCCACCAGCATCTGGGCCGCCGCGTGGCGCTCCGTCGCGCCGCCCGGGCTCGGGCCAGCCGAGGTCGCGGGCGCCGGGCCGCCCCGTCGCACGCCCCCCTGCACGCGGGCGCGCGGGGATCCCACCGGCCCTCTCCCCTTGGCGCAGGCGGCCTCGGCGAGCGGGCCCTTCGGGCCCCCTGTCGTTCCCCTTCGGGGGAGGGCCTGCCCCTCGCGCGCCTGGCGCCTGTGCTGATTCCCGGCGGCTGTCCGCCCGATGGCGGCCTCTGCCTCTTCTGAGTTTCGGGCGCTACCTTCAAGAAGCCCTGGATTCAAACAAATTGCAATCTCTTATCATTTCTTGGGGGCGCCTGTATTCACTTCCGCTGGCTTCGGCTGGCATTTCACCAACTTCCGCTGGCGGAGGCGCCTTTTGCGTGTTTCCGCCAACCTGAAACCGAGGAAGAGGCTTCGACTTCTCGGTCCCTCGAAGGCGAAGCCCTTTCTGGAGCGCGCCGTGTGGTGGGAGGGCGGGTGGGAGTGATCGAGGCGTCTTGCGGCGTAGCCATTGGCAACTTGAACTCTGTCCTGAAGGGAAAGAGGAAAGAGAGCGAGGATCATGACCAAGACTGAACGCCAGAACGTCGGAGTCGAAATTGGTCATCGTCAACTTTGGTCATCGTCGATTCGTGGATCGTGCTTGCGAATCGACGACGGCGGACATGAACCAATATCGATGTCGACCAGACCTTCCCATATCTTGGTCATGCTCATAATCATCATAATCAACATAATCATCATAATCATCATAATCATCATAATCATCATCATCCTCATCCTCGTCCTCATCCTCATCCTCATCCTCATCATCCTCATCCTCATCATCCTCATCCTCATCCTCCTCCTCCTCCTCCTCCTCCTCATCATCATCATCATGATCATCATGAGCATCATGATCATCATGATCATCATGATCATCATGATCATCGTCATCATCGTCATCATCAACATCATCATCATCACCACCATCGTCACCATCCGCATCCGCATCCATATTCGCATCCGCATCAGCATCGCCACGACCATCCCAATCAGCATCATCAGCATCATCAGCATCATCAGCATCAGCATAAACCAGCATCAGCACCACCATCATCACCACCACCATCATCGTTTCTTCCCTCGACTTCTCCATCCACTGGGTAGCACACGTGCTCGACGCTGGCCGTCGGCGCTGGAGCGGCGGGAGCGAAGCTCCCGAGGGCTATATCTGGCCGCGAGCGGCGCCGCCCCTCCGTACGGCGACGAGATTTATGCACATCCATCGCCGCTGGCCTAGCCCATACTGGGCGAGCGGCGCTGCCCCTTCCGTGCCGACTCAGGCTGACTCAACGCACGTGTCGATTCGATCCGATTTCCCGACTCGATGTTGATCGACCTTGCTAAGGATGCCGTGCTCGGCGCCCTGAGATCGGGCGACGAGATCTACACATACTGGGCCCAAGAGCGGTGTAGACGCTCCCTGGCTCGGTAATGGAAACATGTATGCGCCGCTCCTGGTCCCAGGATGGGCGATAGGCCTGGCCAACAGCGGTGGGCATAAGTAGGTCCCATCGCCCGATCTCAGAGCGCCGAATACGGCATCCTTAGTGAGGTCACTTAACATCGAATCGGGAAATCGGATGGAATCGACACGTGCGTTGAGTCGGCCTGCGTCGGCACGGAATCGAACTCTAGTCGGATCGGCCGCGCCAGGATGCACAAAAGCAACGTGCAAGCATCAGGAGGCATCGGACCGTCGGGATATCGAAATCGGATCGGGCTAGGTGAGACCGAGATCGACCAGTGCTTCCGCCATCAAGAATTTAGAACTTCATTGAGATTGCGCCAACACAACACCTGTGGAGCATCTTTGTTTCTGCGCTGCTTCTGTGGCGGCAGGCGGGGAAGTGCATTCGTTTTCTGGCAATGCTACTCTTTGCGAGAGGAGGGCTCCGGGAAGAAATGTTGGCACAAGCACGAACTTTCGGAGGTCCGCGCGGATTTCTTGGATCGGCGCTGGGCCCCCCTCGCTAGCGCACGGAGCGCGCCAAGGGCAGTGCCAAAGGCGCCGCCGAAGAGGTCCAGCGCAGATCTGTGAAATCCGCGCGGACCTTCGAATGTTTATGTTTATATACAGTACTCCTTCTCCGAATCATGGAGTTCCTCGTCGGTCCTCTGCAGCGAAGCGCTATCAAATGTTCGTCGCGTTTCCATATGTGGCGCACGCATCGGATGGTGCTTGAAATGACTGGCCTGACCGACACGATTCGACAGAGGCCTGCCGAAGCTAATCGCGGGCACGGCGTCGTATGCCGTCTGATCTTTCCTATACCCAAGAGCGAACACAAAGAAGCCACGGCGGGCTCGTTCTGTGACGACCCCAGCGCTGGTTCCTGACACCGCACTGATCGTTCAACCTCGAACGACCAGCGGCTTTTCGATCTGTATGGGCCGATTCTGGGCCACTCGCGGCGTTCAAACTTGCACGCCCGCACTGGGGTCGCAGCCCCGCCGGCAGCCGCACGGTAGGCCGTGCCGTGACGACCTGTGCGTGGGTCCGTCGTCCTTGAACGATCGCACCCTTACAACAGCGCCGATCGTTCGGCATCGGCCAGGGCCGCCGCCCGCCGCCCCCGCGCGACGAAACAGCTGGGCGGGTTGCGACGAGGCGCCCGCGAGCGAGGCACCCCAATCCCCCCCTCCCCCCCCATCCGCGTCCGCGCCCAGAGAAACCTCCCGAAACACCTAAAACACGGAGGGAAAATGTCCAGCTCGAATGGGATATCCTCCAAACTGGCTCAGCCATCCGAAGTGGTGAACAAAAGACGCGCCGTCGAGAGCACAAATCACGACTGGAACTCGTGATACCCCGACCCTGCGCGCGACATCTTACCAACAAGTCGATCCTTCTGGGTCACATGAACCGAAGCGGGGACGACGGCCCGTCGAGACTTTTCCACGACCCCCAAATGTGAATGCAGGCCGAAGCCTCTAGTTCGAAGGCGTTGGAGCTCAGGACTTTCCTGCCAGTGGGCCAGGCCCGCCACTTTTGTCCCAGATGGCCGCGGCGGAGACGCTCGCGCGCTACTGCTCGCTCACTTGAGGTCCTCTGGGCCGCCCGGTCGCGGTTGTGGTTTTAACACTACCTCTCCTCTTCCTCCTGCTCTTCCTCCTCGTCCTTTATCCCCCTCTTCCGGTGGTCCTCTGCAAAATCCCGAAGACAATTTGCACGAGAATGGATTGATGCTATTTGTTAAAAGGCAATGACCGAGCTGTGCACTGCTTGGTCATTTGAGCCAAACGGCGACGGTAACGAAATCTCCCTGACCACTAAACAAATGCATCCGTCTCACCCAGTCGCAACGTTATGTTCGAACGCCCTCCCTCGGCACACTTGGCCGAATCTACAGGCGGGGGAGAAGCCAACAGCAAACAGACTCGGTGATACAATATTCTGCACAGTGGTAAACAAGCAGGGGCCGAGTCTCCAACCCAACAAAATAATCACGGTGTGAAAACAAGAGCATGCGTAAGTAGCACCGACACAAGCGACTATGGTTTCGGCGTGAACACACAGGGGCTTCCCAACGCGCGATACACTATGTTTAGTTGGCACGAATTTCAAAATTGCGCAGATAAAAATCAACATTTTCGGTGGTGATGGTGGCTAACCAACATAAGGGAAAACTGATAATCGCCTAGCGCTGGTAGCTGCGGCTGGGTTACCTTCGCAGAGTGGTCGCGCGGCCACCACGCATCCCAACCTGCTCAAGGGTACTATGTGGCCTGAATATGGGGGACCTGTTAACGTCATCCTCACAATCGCATATGGTCGTTGAATGGTGAACCTCGTCGTGCTGCTCGGGTCAACCAGCTGACGTAATCGTGAACCCTAACTGGCTTGATGCTTCTGTCCACCACGTTCTCGTAACGTCCCACCGCCTCCCAGACTGAACGATCTGGGTTACGCAGGTAACATGGGAAATCCGCACGCATGTCTCCCCTCATCCTCAGTGACTCCTCGCCGGCGAGGGGGTTCGCCAGTCACGGGTCACCTTTGACCCAAAGATCGGAATCGAATGCTTGTAGCCCGGCCAGCCAACACGCGTCTTCCCTCCTCGTTTTGGTGTGGCGGCGTACTCCAGGATTGTCTATCAGGAAGGCATACTGTAGTGACGAGCATCAAGTGCACGATGGGTGCGCGATAACGTAACGAGACATTGAGCTCCGTGTGGTACCAACACGTGTCGGGAGCCCGGCGCGGAACACGCATGTCATCCCTATTTAACTGTTCGGGGGTATCGTGCTACTCGTACTAGATCGCCTACACGTCCGCGAATTTAATAACAAAGTTGGCTAACTCGTCGGTCGCAAATCTCATACATACTCCTCTGCTGTTACCCTGCCGCTGATGACCTCGCCTAACCTCGCCTTTCGGAGAATCGTACTTGCGTCTGGGATGACTGTCCCACTGCCAACTGCATGGCGGCCGCGATGGAAACTGTCATCTGGGCCAACACAGGGGGCACCGTCCTGCTCATTTTCGGCTGAAAGCCTGGTTCCGCCACAGGTCTGAGCTTTCCATTTTTGGTCAGATGATCTACAATAGTTGCAAAACAGCTTGAGGCATGTGATGTATTTCCTCCGTCTTCTCCTAGCTCATGGGACCCCTTCGTGAGGGCCTTGTGCAGGAACGGTCTCTCGACGTTGACAGATGATATGGCGGCAGCGCGCGCGGACAGCGGGCGCTGCCTTTTCCAAGTGCCGAATCGCGAGCCGTACCTCTTCTTAGTCAGTCTGATGCCTCTTCCTTGGAGAAGGTGTAAAAGGCTTGAGCCAAACGCCCGCGGCGAACGGCGGATTGATGGTAACATAACGCAAGCAGGAGTGATAATCTAATAGCGCAGGCAAGAGTGAATGTTATCGACTCTAAGCATCTGGCCACTTGACCCTTGAGCATGTCTGGAGCATGGCGGGCGAAGTGTGCACAGGGGGGAGACCTCGCATACTTGAGAACAAATCGCCAGCTTCTGTCACTAGGAACAACAATACATGGACGATGTGCAAGACCAAAAACCAATGTTCAAGAACAGTGGAAAATACAGCGTGGTGCCCCACGGCCATTAAAACCACCTTCCCGATCCCCGACGCCATGCTGGTTTTCGTTTCAGAACGCTGGCCCCCGAAAGATCTGGACCCCTTCCAAGTTTTTCTGTTTTTTGGCGGTGGGGAGGGGGCGTTTTTTTCCCCACCCTGTGGTGTTGGGTCCTCGTTCTGAAAAGAGGACGCCCCGCGTCTCCTCCTCCTCCTCACTCCTCCCCCCTTCCTCCTCCCATCATGATCAGCAGCAACATCACCACCATCATCATCGTCATCATCACCATGACCGTCATCATCACCATCATCGTCACCATCATCGCCGTCATCATCACCATCACCGCTTACACTTTTCGTGGCCCCATAGGGAGCTACACCGAAAGCCCCACTGCCACTGCCCAGATGCGTCCTCCACACCCATGTCGGCACACCCCTCACACATTTCTTGCCTCCACAAGGAGCTCCACTTACGGCCCCAGTGGCTGCGCTCGCTTGCGCCAACTGCACTTTTTTCGGCACGCGCCACACGCTTCGTGACCCCGCAGGGAGCTCCATCGACAACCCCAGTGGTTGCGTTCGCACGCGCCCACGGCACCCATTTTGGCACACCCCTCACACGCTTCGTAGCCCCATATGGAACTCCACCTGCGGTCCCAATGGCTGCGTTCGCATGCGCCCACCGCGCCTATTCCGGCACCGATCACACGTTTCGCGGCCCCATAGGGAACTCCACCGACGGCCCCGCTGGCTGCGTTCGCATGCGCCCACCGCGCCCACTTTGGCACACCGTCACACGCTTCGTGGCCCCATAGGGAGCTCCACCGACGGCCCCAGTGGCTGCGTTCGCATGCGCCCACCGCACCCATTGTGGTGCACCTCTCACACTTTTCGTGGCCCCATAGGGAGTTCCACCGACGGCCCCAGTGGCTTCGTTCGCTTGCGCCCACCGAGCCAATTTTTGGCACGCGCCGCGTACGTTTCGTGGCGGCACCGACGGCGCCAGTGGGTGCGTTCACATGCTCCCGCAGCACCCATGTTGGCACACCCATCGCACGTCTCGTGGCCACATAAGGAACTCCACCGAAGGCCCCAGGTGGCTGCGTTTGCATGCGCCCACCGCGCCCAATTGTGGTAGACCCCTCACACGTTTCGTGGCCCCATCGGAAGTTCCACCGACGGCCCCAGTGGCTGTGTTCGCATGCACCCACCGCACCCATTTTTGTACGCCACTCGCAAATTGCGCGGCCCCATAGGGGGCTCCACCGACAGCCCCACAGGTTGGGCTCGCACGCGCCCACTGCGCCCATTTAGGCACACCCCTCACACGTTTCGCGGCCCCATAGGGAGCTCCATCGACGGCCCCAGTGGTTGCGTTCGCATGCGCCCACCGCGCCCGTGTTTGGCACAATAGGGAACCCCACCGACGGCCCCAGTGGCTGCGCTCGCTTGCGCCCGCAGCGCCCACTTTGGCACACCGTCGCACGCTTCGCGGCCCTATAGGGAACTCCACCGGCGGACCTAGGGGCTGCGTCCGCATGCGCCCACCGCACCAATTTTGGCACACCCCATCACACGTTTCGCGGCCCCACAAGAAGTTCCACCGACGGCTCCTGTGGTCGCGTTCACATGCACCCACCGCACCCGTGTCGGTACACCCCTCACACGTTTCGTGGCCCCATAAGGAGCTCCACCTACGGCCACAGTGGCTGCGTTCGCTTGCACACTCCTCAGACGTTTCGTGGCCCCATACCGTACGTCGACGACATGTTGCACCATTTTTGCCGCGCATTGTCAGCTGTATTGCGTTCCTCCTCCCCCCCTCCCCCTGATCTAAATATTGGGCACATGGCAAAGGTCCCTTGGCGCCCCACCCAGGGCTCGCGACAGAATATTGCACCACCGAACCGTTTCGATGAACCCAGGACCGCAGCCAATGTTAAGATTGGGGGGGGGGTGGAAGCGAATATCCATTGCAAAATCGGCTTGCTTTCTTGACACCACCAGGTGGTGCAACATTTTGTCGATGTACCGTAGGGAGCTCCTCCGAATGCGTTGCATTCAACGACGGTGCTCGCAACTGCATATGGTTGGGTCCGTCGCCAAACGAATTTTTTAACGGCCCCGGGGTTGGTGGGGTCCCCGGAAGGCAAACCACTACCCAAACCCGCGAAGGGATATGGGTTCGTCCATGCATAAGCCCGCTTCCACTCACCCTTGTTTCTAAAAAGTGCGGGCGTTTCTTCAATACCAGCGGTCGGGGTGTTAGCCACCGTGGACCACAAACAGCATGTTTATTGCAACATAGGTTGTGCAACATGTGTTGAACAATCTGTGTTGTGCAATCTATGTTGTGCCGTCTGTGGTTAATTTGGTATGGTGCAACAAATAGTGTGCAACACATGTCGGCAAATCTATGCGGTGCAATTTAGGTCGTACAACATCGGTTGTACAACCTATGCTGTGCAATCTAGGTTGTGCAACATATGCAGTTCACTATATGCTGTGCGCGTGGTTGTGTGCGGCATGCGTGGTGAAACATCGGTGGCGCAACTGATTTGGAGCAACGCGTGGAATGAAGTTTCGGATGAGCAATCTGCGTGGTGGAACATAATTTTATCTATGATGCAACCTATGTTGTGCAACCTATGATGTGCATTCGATGTTGTGATAAAGACGAAATGTAATATATGTGGTGTGCCATCTATGTGGAACACTCCAGGTGGTGTAATCTATGCGACGCAATGGGTTTGAACAAGCTACTTGACACATCCCAAGCTCCTGCAAACATCCCACCCACCCACCCGCAATTTGGTTTGCAAAATTCATGTGGTGGCGATTGCGATGCATGCTTGGCGTTGGCAGGTGTATCTTTGCGGCCGCGCCAACCCTCGCACGCAAGGCGCAGCGGCCAGCTAGTTTAGCGCCACCGACGCGGCCGCTGTGGCGTTCTCCGCTGGGCGCATCCCAGCGGGCACTTCGCTGCGAGTCGGCAACTTGGGCGGGCGCGGTATCATGGTAACGCCGACCACGGTAGACACGATGTTGCTAGTGGCGGTGCTGGTGACGGTGTTCGCACCGACGAAGGCGCGGCCAGTGCGGGCGCCGATGCTGATCACGCCGGCGACGATGACGGCGTCCTCGCGTCGATGGTGGAGGTTTTGGAAAAAAGTTCGACATGCGCGCGCGGCCGACGCGCGAGTGGCCCGCATGATTTTATTTGACACGGATCGTGCCCCCCCCCCCCCCCCCTCAGCACGCGCGCAAGGGCGTGATAATGGTGTCAGCATGCGGCGTCAGAGGCCCCTTTTCCTGAATTCCATGAAGCCGATGGAAAAAAACTTTTGGCCTGTCAAAGAACTCGCAAGAACGCGCGCGTTTCTTGTTTGTATGTCTTGGGTGCTTTTAATATTGGAATGAAAAACAATCGTTACGCAACCGATAGTTTTTGACGGATTTCGGTATGCGCGGGCGACGACGAGCGCGCGTGCACTTCGTCCTATTTTTCTGCAAATCATTCTCACGACGGCACGCGCGCAAACTCTTTCGAATGATTTCGGCACGCGCGCGCGAAGATCGTTTGGTAGCATTTTCCGAACATGTTGAACAACCCGTGATTTTATGAGCGCGCGCGCGTTTTGTCGTTGTTGGTTCTTTATTTGTTACGTTTTTGTTTTGAACATCTCTGTTGCGAAACCATTATTGTATGTTAGTTTTGTTGGCGTTACGCATCCGACAGTTTTCGACGGATTTCGGCATGCGCGCGCGACGACGCGCGCGCAAAGGCGTTCGAACGATTTCGACATACGCGCGAACGAAGCTCGTTTGGTAGTATGTTCCGAAAATGTTGAAAAATACATATGGTTTCTGAGCGCGCGCACGTTTTTTTTCGTTTTTTTGTTGTTCTTCCGTTTTTCGTTGTTGTTTTTGTAGTTGTAGTTGTAGTTGTAGTTGTAGTTGCTGTTGTTGTTGTTGTTGTTGTTGTTGTTGTTTTTTTCCCTACCTAGGCTCTGCCTAGAAGGGTTCTTACTATTAGGCTCAAAGGGGCGGGCAATGGAATACACCCCGGGCGGTTCCCCCGGCATCCGCCCCGCGGTTCCCCCAGGATCCCCCCGCGCCCCCTGGGTGAGCTTAGCTTAGCTTAGCTTCGCTTAGCTTACCTTCGCTTAGCTAGCTTAGCTTAGCTTAACTTTGCTTATCTCATCTTAGCTTAGCTTAGCTTTAGCTTAGCTTAAGCTAGCCTAGCCTAGCTTAGCTTATGTCATCTTAGCTCAGCTTAGCTTAGCTTAGCCTAGCCTAGCTTAGCTTAACTTAGGTTAGCTTGGCTTAGCGTAGCTTAGCTTATCTCATCTTAGCTTAGCTTAGGTTCGCCTAGCCTAGCCTAGCCTAGCTTAGCTTAGCTAATATCAGCTTAGCTTATGCTGCTTTCCTAGGGGCTCCAACTCCTAGGTAGGGTCGCACTGGAATAATGTTTTTATAAACAAGAAGAAAATAACATCCCTGTTTCGAGACCATTTTTAATGTTTCTTGGACGCTCGATTTTGAATTCCTTCCGAAACCTATGATTTTTGAAGGATTTCGGCATGCGCGCGCGACGACGCCCGCGTGTGCACTTCGTCACGTTTTTTGCAAGGGACTCTTGAAAACCTATGACTTTCGATCAACGAGTGTGCGCGCATAGTATTTGTTGCAGAGGATGGTATGAACTCGTATGCGCGATGGACGATGGGGCATAATCATATGTACGTTGCAACACAAAAAAGTGCACCGATAAACCCGGGGGGGAGAGGGTAGAGTTTATTCTCTTTTAGAAAGGAGAATCGATGTAGTGAAATCTATGTTGCACAATCCTTGTTGCGGCGACGGGGTGGCGACGGCGGCCACAAGGCGGCGGACCCGACAAACGTGACCACACGACGGACGGCGACGAGGCGGCGACGGGGCGGCGACGGCTGCAACGAGGCGGCAGACCCGACAAACGAGCCCAAGCGACGGGTGACGACGAGGCAACACGGGCGGCGACGAGGCGGCGACGGGGTGGCGACGGCGGCAACAAGGCGGCGGATCCGACAAACGAGTACAGACGACGGGCGGCGACGGGTCGGCGACGGCGGCAACAATGAGGCGGACCCGAAGAACGAGCCTGGTTCTTTCGAAAATCTATAAGAACCCCTGAGAGCAAACACTGTTAGGGGAATTGTTATGTGGACGCATGAAACAGGAAGGCGTTTAAGATAGACTGGGCTTCGGGCCGCCCCCGAAGCGGGAAGGGAAAACGGAGGCCCCCGACTCTTGCGGTAGGATCGCGCTTGACGTATAGTATGATGAGATCTAGCCAACGTTTTGCCATCGGGAACCGTGGATATGGAACAGATGACCTTTCAGGCATCTATTGCGTAAGGAACGCCAGGGGAACACCCATGGAATGATCTAAAGAGCATCGACCCTCATACCAACATTTTGCATCCATTCGAAGAATGCCTACCCTGCGTGAACCACGACAACCGCTGCTGCTGCTGCTGCTGCTGGGCGGGGCGCTCATGGGGGAAGGCAGGCGGGGCGGGCCTTCTCAGAAGGCTCAGAGGGCCTCCGAGGACACAGGGGGCCACTCAGAAGGCCGGCGGGCTTCCGAGAAGCCCCCTCGCCTTCTGACACGGCCTGTCCCCTCTCACTTCCCCCTCGGCGTGCCGCCCAGCTGCTGCTGGCGCTGCTGCTGCTGGCGCTGCTCCTCGAGGTACGTGTTGTGGTGCGCCCGCCACGTCGGCGCCGAGGCCGGCGGCCTCGGGGCGGCCGCCACCACTGCAGCTGGCGAGGCCTGTCCTGCGCTCGCGCGTGCGGCGATCGGGTCCTAACGAAGGGGCGGCGCGCCAGAGGGGGTGGCGCCAACGGGCTTGACAGTAGGACGGCAGGATGGAACTTCCAAGACGCCAAGCGATCCCTTGTACGAAGCCCCGCTGCTCTCAGAAGATCGCCCCCTCTCCCTGCATCCGTGCAGCGCCGCACGGAGGGAAGGGGCAAGCAGTGTGCGGAGGGGCGGGGTGGGAGAAGGGGGGGGCGGAGCAGTTGGAGGACGAGGGGGGCGATACGGCTGGTGAGGCCTGCCCTGCGCGCGCGTGCGGCGAGCAGGCCCGCCCTGCGCGAGCGCGGTCGGATGGAAAGGGCAAGCAAAGGTGGGGTGTTGCCACAAGTGTCCCTGGCCCAGGGTGCCCCATTAGTTTTAGTCTATAGCCCTCGACAACATTAACCTCATGAGTTGTTGATGCGCCCCTGCAATGCCGTTCATTTTTCTCACCGTCAACGTCGCTTTTCGCCCCGTCAACGTCGTACCCTTCAATGTCGAATGGCTGGCGCTCCGGCGGGGGCGGCTCTCCCGCGGTTCGCGCCCGAGGCCGGTGGGGCGGTTCGCGATTACGGCTTGAGTCGAAGGAGACGGGTCTTAGGGAAAACGGGACCTGGACCCCGAGGCCTTCTCCTGGGACAAGCTCTGTATCCTGCGTCGTCTGCGGTGTTGGGCCCTCGTTTTGAAGAGACGGTCCCCGCGTCTCTCCTCTCCTGTCCTCCTCCTCCCCCTCCTTCTCCTCCCTCCTCCCGTCACCCCCGTCACTACGGCACAACCCTCACACGTTTCGTGGCCACATAGGGAGCTCCACCGAAGACCGCAGTAGCACCGTCCACATGCGTCCGCCACACCCATTTCGGCACACCCCTCACACGTTTCGTGGCCCCATAGGGAGCTCCACACACGGTCCCAGTGGCACCGTCCACATGTGTCCGCCACACCCATTTCGGCATACCCCTCACACGTGTCGTGGCCCCATAGGGAGCTCCACCCAAGGCCCCAATGGCACCCTCCACATGCGTCCGCCACACCCATTTCGGCACACCCATCAAATGTTTCGTGGCCCAATAGGGAGCCCCACCGAAAGCCTCAATGGCACCGTCCACATGCGTCAGCCACTCCCACGTCGGCATACCCCTCGAACGTTTCATAGCCCCATAGGGGGCTCCACCCAAGGCCCCAATGGCACTGTCCACATGCGTCCGCCACACCCATTTCGGTACACCCCTCACACGTGTCGTGGCCCCATAGGGGGGAGCTCCACCGAAGGCCCGAGAAGCCCCGTCCACATGCCATGCGTCCGCCACACCCATTTCGGCACACCCATCACACGTTTCGTGGCCCCATAGGTAGCTCCACCGAAGGCCCCAATGGCACCGTCCACATGCGTCCGCCACACCCATTTCGGCACACCCTTCACACGTTTCGTGGCCCCATAGGGAGCTCCACCCAAGGCCCCAGAGACACGGTCCACATGCGTCTGCCACACCCATTTCGGCACACCCCTCGCACGTCTCGTGGCCCCACAGGGAGCTCCAACGAAGATCATACTCACGACTGCGGTGCTCACAGCTGCATATGGTTGGGTCCTTCGCCAAGCTATTCTCTTCCTCCTCCTCCTCCTCCTCCTCACCAGCAGCAGCAGCAGCAGCAGCAGCAGCAGCATGATCATGATCATGATCATGATCATGATCATCATCATCATCATCATCATCATCATCATCATCATCGTCATCATAATCATCATCATCATCATCATCATCAGCACCAGCACCAGCACCAGCCTCATCATCATCATCATCATCATCACCACCATCAGCATAAGCACCACAACCACCATCATCATCATCATCATCATCATCATCATCATCATCATCATCATCATCATCATCATCATCATCATCACCATCACCATCACCATCACCATCACCATCACCATCACCATCACCATCACCATCCACCACCACCACCCACATCATCATCATCATCATCAGCATCAGCATCAGCATCAGCATCATCGTCATCGTCATCTTCATCATCATCATCATCATCATCATCATCATCATCATCATCATCATCATCATCATCATCATCATCATCGTCATCGTCATCGTCATCGTCATCGTCATCGTCATCGCCATCGTCATCGTCATCGTCGTCATCGTCATCACCCGTTTCAGCACACCCCTCGCACGTTTCGTGGCCCCATAGGGAGCTCCACCGAAGGCCCCAGTAGGGGTGCCCGCATGAGTCCGCCACACCCGGTACAGCGTTTCGTGGCCCCATAGGGAGCTCCACCGAAGGCCCCAGTAGGGGTGCCCGCATGCGTCCGCCACACTCAATACAGCGTTTCGTGGCCCCATAGGGAGCTCCACCGAAGGCCCCAGTGTGGATGCCCGCATGCGTCCGCGACACCCAGTACAGCATTTCGTGGCCCCATAAGGAGCTCCACAGAAGGCCCCAGTGGGGGTGCCCCCATGCGTCCGCCACACTCAGTACAGCGTTTCGTGGTTCCATCGGGAGCTCCACCGAAGGCGCCAGTGGGGGTTCCGCCGAAGGCCCCATTGGGGGTGCCCGCATACGTCCGCCACACCCAGTACAGCGCTTCGTGGCCTCATAGGTAGTTTCACCTAAGGTTTCAGTGGCCCAGCCCACACGCGTCTCTCTCACACCTCGTACAGCATAGGGAACTCCACGGAAGGCCCCAGTGGGGGTGCCCGCATGCGTCTCCCCCTCCCAGCACAGCGTTTCGTGGCCCCATAGGGAGCTCCACCGAAGGTCTCAATTGCGCAGCCTGCATGCGTTTCCCCCCACCGAGTACAGCGTTTCGTGGCCCTACAAGGGGGCTCTCCTGAACACGATACCTACAACTGCGGTGTTCACATCTGCACATGGTTGGGTCCTTCGCCAAGCTAATTCGCCAACATCGACTCCTGGAGGTCTGGACCCATTCCCCAGGACCAATTTTTCATGTCGTTTTTCTGGGGTCGACGGTCTGGAGGCCTGGTGAGGGCCCCTGGAGGCCGATGAAGCTGAAACAACTCCCGTCGTGATCTTTTCACGACGCGAGGATGTCAGTAGGCGGCGAGCCCAGGGGGGAAGTGAGAGGGGGCAGGCCTTCTCAGAAGGCGGCGGGGCAACTCAAACACTCTCTGGCCTTCAGAGAAGTTTTCTCTCTCCCCTCCCCCTCCCCCTCCCCCTCCCCCTCCTCCTCCTCCTCCTCCTCCTCCTCCTCCTCCTCCTCCTCCTCCTCCTCCTCCTCCTCCTCCTGCTCTTCCTCCTCTTTACTGCCCAGTGCCCCGATGACGACGACGGCCCCCGACCCGCCCGTGGGCGCGCAGGAAGGAGTGGGGGGGGCGGGGCGAGAGCGCTCCCGCGCGGCCGCGGCCGCCGAGCCACCCCATCAGCGCGTCCTCCGCCGGGCGGAGGCGAGGCAAGGGACCTCATGAGGTGCCACGTTAGGGCAAAGAGGGATCTCCTGAGGCGGAGGCGAAGCGAGGGATCTCCGGAGGCGGAGGCGAGGTGATGGTCCTCCGCCAGGCGGAGACGAGGCGAGGGACTTCCCTTCTCTCCTGGTCCTGAAGGGCAACGTGGGGGGTGGGGAACCTGGCCCAGGGGGAAACATCGACCTGGAATCGCCGATAGATTGGCGCAAGGACGCCCTAGAGTGGATCCGCACGTTCCGTGGGCGGGGTGGGCCATGGGGCCCCTCTCGGCGATCAGTGGGCGGTGGGGGATCGATGCGCCTCACCCTCAACACATCCCTCTGACGCTGCCCCTGACCTCCCGTGCCTGCCCTCCTCCTCCGAGGAGGAGGAGGATGAGGAGGATGATGAGGAGGAGGAATAGTAGCAGTGAGGCCAGCGCCTCAGCTGGCTGACAGGAAGCCTATGGCGGCTCAGGATTGGTGACAACAAAATGCAAAAACATCGATCCTCCTCCTCCTGCTCCTCCTCATCGCTCGCCTTCGTCGCAGTCGCCGTTGCCGCAGCCGCCGTCGCCGCAGTCGCCGTCAACGCCACCGTCGTAGTCGTCGTCGTCGTCTTCCTCCTCCTCCTCCTCCTCCTCCTCCTCCTCCTCCTCCTCCTCGTGCTCCTCCTCCGCCTCCTCCTCCTCCTCCTCCTCCTCCTCCTCCGATCTCCCTCCAAATCCTCCTCCTCTTCATCCTCCTGGTCCTCCTGGTCGCCCTCGCCGTCATAGCCGCCGTCGCTGCCAAGAAAATCTGCGCCCGCGGCCGTCGTCGTCGGTCCCTCTTCCGGGGCTGCGCGGCCGGCTGCGGCTGCGTCTGCGGTTGCTGTAGCGCGTCGGCGTGCTGGCGGCGGAACTGCGGGCGGGCTCGCGCTGGCGCGCCGGCCTGGGCAGAGCCGCCGCCAGGGCACTCCGTGGTCGCCGCAGGCGTCGCCGTCGCCGTCGCCGTGGCCGTGGCCGTGGCCGTGGCCGTGGCCGTGGCCGTGGCCGTGGCCGTGGCCGCGGCCGCGGCCGTGGTCGACGATCGTGGTCGTGGTCGTGGTCGTGGTCGTGGTCGTGGTCGTGGTCGTGGTCGTGGTCGTGGTCGTGGTCGTGGTCGTCGTCGTCGTCGTCGTCGTCGTCGTCGTCGTCGTCGTCGTCGTCGTCGTCGTCGGTCGTCGTCGTCGTCGTCGTCGTCGTCGTCGTCGTCGTCGTCGTCGTCGTCGTCGTGCGTTGTCGTCGTCGTCGTCGTCGTCGTCGTCGTCGTCGTCGTCGTCGTCGCAGGCGTCGTCATCATCCCTCGTCGAACGGATGATTTGAGGGAGTCGTTATGCCTTGTTTGTCCTGGTCTCCTGTCCCCTGGAGCCACCGAGTTGAGACGACAACACTTAAGAGCTGCGTGTTTGCACGCAGGGGGTATCTTTCTGGTGTTCCCGCCACGGAGCGGGCAGCGTTTCCGAGGGGCGACCTGCGTCGGGCAGCTTTTCCGAGGAGCGATCTGCGTCTTGGGTGTGCAGCGTGCTTCTCGCGAGCAAAGACACCGTCGCCAGGTTTGGTCTCGCCTCTGTGAGGGCGCAGGTGGCGTGGGCAGGCTCCCCCTGTGTACGCCACGGTGTGCGTGCTGAGTTGTGGCCGTCACAGGACCTCGGCTAGCCTCTACTAAGGCGCCGTCGCGAGGGCCCGCCTCGACAAGCGGCGATGTAAGTACGTGCCGCGGATAACTGGCCGAACATCATCCTCTTCCTTCTCCAGTCCTTGATCTGTCTGATCCTCTTTGCCCCCCTCTTCCTCCCCCCCTTCCCCCTTGCCCAGAAGCATTCGAAAAGCCCCACGCCCCAAACATTAGCAGGAGACCCCTGGGCCTTGGAGTCCGCCCGGCATTCACCACCGTGGCTGCGCCCGCGCCCTCCCGCTCACTCCTTCGCCCCCTTCCCGCCACTCTGTGTCTTCCTGCAGGCGGCTACACGCAACAGTGACCCTAGGCAAGAAGGACCCTTGGTGCGCAGCCTGCCCGATCGTTGCATAGGATGCGACAGAAACTGCCTGCGTGCTTGGGGCTTCCCCCCTCCCACACCCAGGAACCGAACTTTCTACACCGATGTTTTTTTGTCCCGCACTGAAATTCGCACATGTAAAAGGATTTGTGTATACAGCATCCTGGTGTATACATTTTCGTTGCTTCCACGGGGAAGCGGGTAAAAAAGTATACGCCACACCACCCCGACGTCGCCCCCGACCCTCAAAAATTCCTGGGATTGCAAAACAGCCCGCCACTGGTAACGTATATGCTCCAGTTTCCGACACACCTCCCCCCCCGTGCGGCCCCGACAGCCGCGCACACAGAGGCCACTCCGGCGAAGGGCCGCTCCTCTGTGTGGCCGACCCTGGCCTCCGAGAAGGGCGGCCGCGGGAGCAGGCCTGCTCGCCAGCGTCGTCGTCCCAGCTGAACGACGCCAGGTAGTCCGTGGAGGCGCCCGCCGCCGCTGCCGCGGAGGCGCGACGCGACACGGCGCTGAGCGCCTTCGGGGGAGCGGCGGCCTTCGGCGGGCTCGGCGGGGGGGCAGGCGGGTCTGGCGGCCCAGCGGTGAGGCCTAGCCCCTTCAGGTAGGTGTTGTCCTGCAGAGACGCCCGAGGCCTCGGGGCCACCCGTGGCGCGCCGGCCCCGAAGTCAATGCCCCTGAGGTAAGCGTTCTCCTCTGGTGGCGGCTGTGCCCCCGAGGCCAGCTGCGGCGCCTGCGCTGGTGCCCCGCGCGCAGGGGCTGGTGCCGCCGTCGCTGCGAGCGCCGTCTCCATGGAAGGGGGCGCCCTCGGCACCGCTGACGGCGCAGTGGCCCGTGGCGGTCCCCAATGCGCCCGCGCTGGGGAGGCCTCCGCCGCGAGCGCCGCTTCGATGGACGGGGACGCCAGCGGGGGCGCCCGCGGCAGCGGCACCTGGAAAGCCTGCGGCGCCGGGGACGCGAGCGGCGTGGTCGAGGCTGCCGGGAGCGCCGCGGGCTCGAGCGCATCAAACGTGAGCGCAGCCACCACCGTCTGCGGGGCCGCCGGGAGGTCTGGCAAGGCAACTGCCTGCGGGGCCGCTGGGAGGTCCGGCAAGGCAGGCGCTGCAGGCGTCGTGAGGACCGCACCGCCGCCAGCACTGAGGTGGGCAGCCTCGCCGAGCACCCGCTGAACTTCCGTCTCCTCGTTGGCCTCCGCGTCCTGGGCGCGCCAACCCAGCCAATTCTTTCGCGCTGGCGGGGCCACTGCCGCCAAGTCGTCTTGCGGCGGCGGCGCCGCCGAGGCGGCCGTGGCCTGCGGCGGGCTCGCTTGCGGCGGCGCCGCCGCTGCTGGCACGTTGAAGGAGGCACTCGGGTGTGCCGGATCCAGCAGGCCCAGGGAGCGCTTGGTGAGGAGCGCCTGCACGATGGCGTAAGCCTCTGGGTTCTGCGACCTGAGCTCCGCCAGCTCGTCTGGGTTCTGCAAGCCGTGAGCGGTGAGCCACGCGCGGGCCGCGGCCTCGGCAGCGGCTCGGGCTCGGCTGGCCGACGCTGGCGCTGCCGCCAGAGCCAGTAGCGCAAGCGCAGGCGCAGCCAGCTTCATTGGGCTGGCGCTACCAGCGCAGGCGTGGAACCTGAGGAACCTCGAGCCCTTCCTGGAGTGGTCCTAAGGAGCCTTGATCCGCGTCCAAAACCAAAGTGGCCCTTGCTCCCAAGTTTGCAGAATACCCCTCCTCATCCTCGCCCTTCCTAAGCAGCCCCCGCCGACTTCATTCACACAAACTTTTGTTTCCCAGCCATCCTGTGGCGTTGGGTCCTCGTTTTGAAAAGACGGTCCCCGCGTCTCCTCCTTCCCGCTACACCCTCCTCCCTCTCCCCATCATCAGCATCATCATCGCCACTATCATCACCTCTCACACGTTTCGTCGCCCCATAGGGAGCTCCACCGAAGGCTCCAGTGGGGGTGGCCACATGCGTCCGCCACACCCAATACAGCGTTTCGTGGCCCCATAGGGAACTCCACCTAAGGCCCCAGTGAGGGTGTCCAGATGCGTTCGCCACACACAAAAAATCGCTTCGTAGGCCCAAAGGGAACTCCACCTGCGGCAGAACTGGGGGTGGCCACATGCGTCCGCCATATCCAGTACAGCGTTTCGTGGCCCATCTGCGGCCTCAGTGGGGGTGTCCACATGCGTCCGCCACACTCAGTACAGCGTTTCGTGGCCCCATATGGAGCTCCACCTGCGGCCCCAAGTGGGTGTGGCCACATGCGTCCGCCACACCCGAAGGCCCCAGAGGAGGTGGCCACATGCGTCCGCCACACCCAGTACAGCGTTTCGTGGCCCATAGGGAGCACCACCGAAGGCCCCAATGGCACCGCCCGCATGCGTCTCCCCCACCCATTACGGCACATCCGTGACGTGTTCCGTGGCCCCAAAGGGAGCTCCACCGAAAGCGGCACCCACAACGCTGTACTCACGTTGTTGTTGTTGTGGAACTTTCATTTCTGAAGAATAATTATTGTTGATCCCCCCCCACCGGTGCAGATTGTTTTTCTCAATCGAAATGTGCCCCTCGACACTCGCACCCTGTTTTCTGTGAAAAAAAATCTTGAGCTCAAACTGGGCCCCTGGCCCCCGGGTTACAACAACAACGGCTCCTGCTTGAGATCTCCTCACAATTTAGCCAGGACCCCCACTCCCGCCCGAGACTTCCTCGCATTTTATGCAGGAGTCGCGCTCTCGCTTGGGATTTCCTGACAATTTATTAAGGAATCGCTTTCCCGGCGCTCTGGAGTCGCGCTCTCGCTGGAGACTTGAGTGGAATTTACTGAAAAGTAGCGCCCTTGCGTTGGAATTTCATGCAATTCGCTTAAGCGCCGCGCTCCCGACACCGAGGCACCCAAGACTCGGGCCCGTTGTGGCCCCATGTGCATGCCCTTCGTGGCCCCGCTGTCGCCGTTTGTGGCCCCCTCACTGTCCTACGTGGCCCAGTTGCTGCCCTCAGTGGCCCCATTGTTGCCTGATGTGGCCCCGCATTATCTGCCCTTCATGGCCCCCGCTCGTTCGCGCGCTTCGTGGCCCCATACGCAATCCCTTCGTGTCCCCGCTGTCGCCCTTCGTGGCCTACTTCGTGTCCTTCGTGGCCCTGCTGTCGTTCTCTCTCGCTCTCGCTTTCGCTCGTCGTCGCCGTCGCCGCCGTCGTCGTCGTCGTCGTCGTCGTCGTCGTCGTCGTCGTCGTCGCGGCCGGTCCCTTGTCCGTCCTTCTTGGGGTCGGGTCGACGGTCCGCGGCCGCCCTGCCGGTCAGCGCTGCCGCTGGCAAGGCCGACGGTCCGCGGCCGCCCCGCCGCTTGCCGTGGCCCGGCTTGCATGGAAGAAAGGTATACCCCCCAAAAGGGGTTCGATCGAAGACGAAGAGGGCGGGTATCGAGGGTTTGGGAAATACGCGTTATTGGACACTCGAGCAGATAAGGGCGAACAGTCTTAAACTGATTGTTGTTGTTGTTGTTGTTGTTGTTGTTGTTGTTGTTGTTGTTGTTGTTGTTGTTGTGTTTTTTGTTGTTTCATGATTTCCCCCCCCCCCTCTCTGATTATCTATCTCTCTGACCCTCTCCTCCGATACACTCGCCCTCTCTCGCTTTTTTCACTCGGCATCGGCGAGGGGTTCGGCCCGCCACGCGCCGCCGCGGCGTGCTAGAGCAGTCCGTCCTCCGTCAGTGTTCCCGCCTCCCAGCGCCTGATACACTCGGCCGCCTCGTCGGCGCTGGCGCCGTCCAGTGCCACCAGCACGACGCGCTCGAGGGCGCCAGGCGTGCACGACAGCAGGTGGTCGCCGAAGACCTCCACGGCAGCGGCCCAGCTCATGTGGCGGGTTCCCAGAAAACCCTGAACCTAAAAATCCGCCGACCCTGTCGGCGTGTGTGAGGGGCTTTTCCGTTCGAGACGTCATCCCCGTTGTTCGTTGGTCGTCGTCTCTGTCGTCCCCCTTCCTTGCGCCTCCCTTTCCGTGGGCCCGTCGCCACTCCCGTCCTCTTTCCCAGCAGGGGCCCCTGCTCAAGCGCGCCAGCCCAAATGAACTTCGGCAACGTCGTATTTGAGTCGAAGGGAAGCCCCTTCCCTTTGATCCCTCCCCCGCCGGGAGGGGGGGGGGGGGTAGCGGGGGGGTCCCGGGGGAGGGTCCCGGGGGGGGGGCGCCACTCAGATACGACGCCCCCCCCGCAAGTACTGCACGTAGGGATTCTTTATTGTTTCGGGGCCGCGCCCGAGCCGCCCGAGCCGCCGCCGAGCCGCGCCCGAGCCGCGCCCGAGCCGCGCTCGGACCGCGCCCGAGCCGCGCCCGAGCCACGCCCGAGCCGCGCCCAACAGACCCCCAAGACGGCTCCAAGAGATTGCCCAGATGGTTCACCCGAACGGACATTTCGACCCTTCAGCCCCGAGAGGCTCCCAGGACGCCCCAAGAGGCTCCCAGGTCGCCCTCCAGGGTCGGCGGCACCGGCCGTAAGGCCTTCGCAATATTGCCATCTCTTGGGGCCGCATCTTTTCATTCCGCTGGCCTTTAATGGCCTTCCGCCGGCTTCCGCCGGCAGAAGCGGCCTTGTTTAACTTCCGCCGGCTTCCCCCGACCTTCTGCCGAGGAAGAGACGTCAACGCCTTCGATCCTCGAAGGCGAGGCCCTTCCTGGAACCCGCCATGTCGCGCGGCCATTGGTGCACGCCGCTGGACAGCGCTGGCGTGGCCAACGACCGGATGGGGGCGGCCTCGTAGGCCAGGGCCGCTCGCAGGCCGGCGCCGTAGGCGTCGCGCAGCTCGCTGGCGTCGCCAGGCCACGCGGGGCCGACCACGTGCACGATGGCCCCGCAGTGCGGCAAGCCGAAGGCGGGCGTGACCCGCGCCTCCCCAGCAGGACAACGGATTCCGCCCCACTTGGGGTCGCCGCCGGACGAGGGATGAAGCCCGATGATCATGACCAAGATGTCGCGGGATCTTGCCGACGCCTATCTTCATGAGTAATGAGCCATGCCGACCGTCGCCGATTCGCAAGGATGATGCGCTAATGGACAGCGGCCAGTATGGAGGATTACCGAGATCGACGCCGTAGTTTTTCGCGTTCAGTCTTGGTCATGGTCCTCGTGTTCTTTCCCTCCAGCTGGGGCTGGCGGTGTCGACCTCCTCGAACGCCATGCAAGCCTTGTGAAGCTTTGGCCCGGCGGCCAGGTGCACGGACCTGTCCACGCACTCAAAGACGCAGCCCCCGCTGCCGTCCAAGTTTATGTACGGCAGCTGCGTGCCCACCAGGTGCTCGTTAGCGGAATTTACAATGGCGCTCACGCCCTGGACCTCTGGGTTGGGCTGATTCCAATTCGAATTCGCAGAAAATGAGTTCCAAACAATATTTCCCTGGTTTGGTATTGCGCCGGGGGCTGTCTCTTACCGCGCCCAAGAACTGATTCCCAACCATCCTGTGGTGTTGGGTCCTCGCTTTGAAGAGACGGTCCCCGCGTCCCTCCTCTCCTCTCCTCTCCTCCCCCTCCTCCCTCCTCCCCCTCCTCCATCCTCCATGCGTGTCACCCACCCAGAACAGCGCTTCGTGGCCCCATAGGGGGCTCCACCTGCGGCCCCAGTGGGGCTGGCCACATGCGTCCGCCATACCCAGTACAGCGTTTCGTGGCCCCATAGGGAGTTCCACCTGCGGCCCCAGTGGGGGTGGCCACATGTGTCCAACCACATGCGTCCGCCACACCCAGTACAGCGTTTCGTGGCCCCATACGGAGCTCCACCTGCGGCCCCAGTGGGGGTGGCCACATGCGTCCGCCACAC